TAATGTGTCATACCCACTTAACGAAACTCACCTAACTGACGATACGAACCATTTTTACCGAAACAAAACACAAGTCTCACAAGAAGCGTCTAAATTAGCCCTGAGCGAAAAAATGCCTAACTCACGGTAGAAATACTTTATTACTTATCAGATTAAAGCTGAGATTCCACAGATTCTAGAAGTATTAGTATCATCACTGCGATCATTACCTTTGCTAAGTTACATGTAATTGAAAACGCTGGGGGGTATAAATTACCTTGTAAAATGAATAGTCTAGTGTTTCAAGTTAGCTTGCTTTTACAAACATGCAGAACGCATGGTTATGGTACATTGTAGTGGATCAAATGAACGTAAATCCTCTATGCCTCTAAGTTAATAAAACATGCCCAGACATGCAGTAAAAAAAAAAGAAGAAAGAAAACGCGCGGCCTGCCGCCATTTTAGGTTCGAATTTTCCAGAGAACTTTTGCAACACAAACGTTCCACTTTGAGATATAACTTAAAACAATATAGAAATACTGTCTTACACGTAAGTTAAATCATTTTTCAAGTGAGGCAGATATTAAATGTAGGCTAGCTAACAAGAGCTCAAATCAAACTAACACACCATGCGACACAAAGTGCATTAGATGCAGAAATTAATAAAACATCATTTAAATACTGTGCAAAGGCAAGACGTAACTCACCAGAGTAGTGCGGCCAAAAAAAGGATCAAGATTCCGGCAGTGAGTGCAATCAGCAAGGTGGGGAAAGTATTCTTAAAAGTATGAGCGATTTCAACCGAGGCGAGGAGCTAATGGCGGACTCTGGTGAAGGCATGGGTGAGAGAACGTCTACGCACGTCAGGGGCGGAGCACATACGTGATGACGTCAGACCAGCGTCAGACAGATTCAGTAAAAATGTTTGAGTACAATCACCAATATGACCCAAAGTGGTTGAACACTGTATACACAATATTAAAAATCAGTTCATAATCATAAACATTAGCGGTGAATTAACTTTTTTAAATGTTTGAGTTAAAACAACCCATTTTCTTTCAGAAGCTTGTAATGTTCGGTCTTACAGTGTGAGATTCATACACGGGAGCCTTTTTAAAGCCTTTTTACCCCGCTGCAAACAGAATTAGAAAAGTGCCGGTCAAAGGTCTTCTTTGTTATTTATTGAGCTTTAAAACAAATGAATAACGACTCTATATAATAAAACACGGAGGACGGAGATCTCTTTTTCTCCCCCTCTTCTGACAGCCCAGCAGCTGATCAGAGCACGGCTCCCCTCTCCTGCAGGGGGGCGTGGTCAGCAGAATCAGACCCGTAGACAGCAAACAGCACATAGAGCGAAATGAGGCATGGCTAAAATGCATGATCTGTTTGGTATTTTGAAAACAGAAACGTATAAATATTAGGGCTGTCAAGTTAACGCGTTAATAACGCGTTAACGCAAAAAAAAATTAACGCCACTAATTATTTTAACGCGATTAACGCATGTGTATTTTTTGTCCTCGGCCGCCGTAGTTTCAGAGCGCATCGAGTGTAAAATACCATCGACAAGCTGATGCTGACAGCCCCGCTCCTGCCGCCCGCTTGTGGCAGACCACACTTCCACGCTCACTGGCAGGCCCGGACTGGCCATCGGGAGGACCGGGAGGGAGTGTGTGTGTGTATGTGTGGCGCGACTCGCGCGAGCGAGGCACACCTTACGTGTTGTTGTTGTTGTTAGCATCTGGTGCTAGCTAGCTGCGCTAACGGATATAAGGAGCTGTTTCAATGACATTTCGCCGACAACTGCGCCGAGCACTTGACTTTATGCAGGTAGCCAGACAGTGGGACATTGTACGAAAAGTCAGCACACACAGCACGGATAGTGCGCGCAACATGATTGCAGCGTCCAGGCAGCTCCCATTCGAGCATATATGCCTTGAGCTGCACATAGCTCCAAAGATCCATCACAGTGTCCACACACACACACACACACACACACACACACACACACACACACACACACACACACACACACACACACACACACACACACACACAGTATTATTGTATGAGAGAGGTTCTAGGTTGAATTGAGGCGAATATTTGTAATGTTCAGAGGTTGTTGTGTTTAATATTCATGAGAATATTTGTCATTGTTCAAATGATAATAAACAAACATATAAAGCATATTTGTCCACTCATATGTTGATAAGAGTATTAAAAACTTGAAAGATATCCCTCTAAGGTACATTTAGAACAGATAAAAAATGTGCGATTAATTTGCGATTAATCGCGATTAACTATGGACAATCATGCGATTAATCGCGATTAAATATTTTAATCGACTGACAGCCCTAATAAATATACCTTATATAGGTATGGCCCTACAATATATCATTTAAATATAGCATGATAGGTTTCCTTTAATCAATATAATACATTAAATTAATAAATATTTCCTAAATAGATTAAATCATTTTTATCACGATAAAATAATAGTATAATAAATACTAAAAATACTTTTAAATCAATACAATATTCATTTATTTAGAAAAACCTTTTCAAATTAGGGCTGTCAGTCGATTAAAATATTTAATCGCGATTAATTGCATGATGTCCATAGTTAATCGCAAATTAATCGCACATTTTGTATCTGTTCTAAATGTACCTTAGAGGAATATTTTTCAAGTTTTTAATACTCTTATCAACATATGAGTGGACAAATATGCTTTGTGCAAATGTTTGTTTATTATCATTCGAACAATGACAAATATTCTCCTGAATATTAAACACAACAACCTGGAACCTCTCTCTCTCTGAAGTTCCCACTGTGGGTCAAAATAATGCGCTGTGATGTGCAGTCGACACGTTGGATGCGAGACTAATGATCTAACGCAGCCCCTCGTCCTCCACAATGTTAAGCTGTAGCCACCCATTTAGCTATCTGTTGTTGTCCAGGCGTCTCCCCGGCAAACTTTCAAGCGTGGTCTGCCGCAAGCGAGCGGCAGGAGCGGGGCTGTCAGCATCAGCTGTGAGCTTGGCTTGCTGTTTAAAACACCTTTTCTTGGATCCATATCTCTCGCTAGAATCTGCCACCATCCAACTAACAACAACAACAACAACGTCAAGCCTTTGGGCTCTGAAACTACGGGGCGGGCCGAGGACAAATACACATGCGTTAATCGCACGTTAAAATAATTAGTGGCGTTAAAAAAAAATTGCTCAGCCTCCCCGGGAAAGTTTACTCTAAGGTACTGGAAAGGAGGGTCAGGCCGATTGTGGAACCTCAGATTGAGGAACAATGCGGATTCCGTCCTGGTCGTGGAACGACGGATCAGCTTTTACTCTCGCAAGGATCCTGAGGGGCCTGGGAGTACGCTTATCCGGTCTACATGTGTTTTGTAGATTTGGGGAAGGCGTATGACCGGGTTCCCATGGAGTTACTGTGGGAGGTGCTGCAGGAGTATGGGGTGAGGGGGTCTCTACTCAGGGCCATCCAATCTCTGTACTCCCAAAGAGAGAGCTGGGTCCGGGTCCTCGGCAGTAAGTCGGACCCATTTCCGGTGAGGGTTGGCCTCCGCCAGGGCTGCGCTTTGTCACCAATCCTGTTTGTAATATACATGGATAGGATTTCGAGGCATAGTCGTGGGGGAGGGGGTCTGCAGTTCGGTGGACTAAGGATTGCACCACTGCTTTTTGCAGATGATGTGGTTCTAATAGCTTCATCGGTCTGCAACCTTCAGCTCTCACTGGATCGGTTCGCAACCGAGTGTGAAGCGGCTGGGATGAGGATCAGCACCTCCAAATCTGAGGCCATGGTTCTCAGCAAGAAACCGATGGACTGTCCACTCCAAGTAGGGAATGAGTCCTTACCCCAAGTGAAGGAGTTCAAGTATCTCGGGGTCTTGTTCTCGAGTGAGGGAACAATGGAGCGTGAGATGGGCTGGAGCAGCGGGAGCGGTACTGCAGTCGCTTTGCCGCACCGTTGTGAGGAAAAGAGAGCTGAGCCAGAAGGCAAAGCTCTCTGTCTTCCGGGCCATTTTCGTTCCTACCCTCACCTATGGTCATGAAGGATGGGTCATGACCCAAAGAACGAGATCATGGATACAAGCGGCCGAGATGGGTTTTCTCCGCAGGGTGGTGGCGTCTCCCTTAGGGATAAGATGAGAGGTTCAGTCATCAGGGAGGGACTCGGAGTTGAACCGCTCCTCCTTCGCGTCGAAAGGAGCCAGTTGAGGTGGTTCGGGCACCTAGTAAGGATGCCACCTGGGCGCCTCCCTAGGGAGGTGTTCCAGGCACGTCCAGCTGGGAGGAGACCGAGGGGTAGACCTAGGACCAGGTGGAGGGATTATATCTCTTCTCTGGCCTGGGAGCGCCTTGGGATCCCCCAGTCAGAGCTGGTTGATGAGGGAAAGGAACGTTTGGGGCTCTCTGCTGGAACTGGTACCTCCAAGACCCGACCACGGAGAAGCGGGAGAAGATGGATGAAACAAAAATTGCATTAACTTGACAGCCCTATTTCAAATCAATAATATTATTTTATACAATATATTTTATCAGTAAAATTACTTTTTAATAATTAGAATATAAATGTAATAAAGCATTTTTTAACTTCTTTAATAGATTCAATTCAAACCTTTGAAATGAAGAGGAATATTTGTTTAATCAATTAACTACATTTTGATCAATTAATAATGTTTACATCAATGACAAGAATCAATCAATAAAATCAGTTTGAATTCAATAAAATAATTTCACTAAATCAACACGATAATACACAATTTATTATTTACTTTTTAAATCATTCACATCATTTATAAAATAAATACTTATATGTTAAAAATAGAAAATTATTTTTATAAAATGTGAAAATCTGACATTTCTTTAATCAATAACGTAGATTTTAATTTGAAAATATTTTAAAATCAATTATTTATTTTTTAAATTGAATTATTTTGTTTTGTTTTTCAAATCAACATTTTAAAATATTACATTTGTTTTATGAATGAATGAACTCATTGATGTCGGGTTCAGGAGTCATTTTGCTGACTCATGTTAACGGAGAGGAGACGCCATCTTTATCTTTCTCTGATATCAGTATTAGGATGCAGCAGCAGAGACCTGGACCTGGACCTGAACCTGGACCTGGACCTGGACCTGAAGCTGGACCTGGACCTGGACCTGGACCTGAACCTGGACCTGAAGCTGAAGATGGACCTGAAGCTGAACCTGCACCTGGACCTGGACCTGGACCTGGACCTGGACCTGAACCTGGACCTGGATCCAGCTGTGTGTCCATGAAGAGTGACAGGTCTATGGATCCCCCTCTTCTCTTTCAATCTGGACGTCCTGCAGAGGGAAGGTGAGAATGTAAAAGTGTGTCACGTGATCAGCTCCTTTCTGGGGAGTTCAGAGTTTCTTCTCCCGGACGCTGGGACATTGTTCTGTTAGCTCTTTGGTTCTTCTAACTTACTCCATCTTTTCAGAGAGGTTTCTTCGATTCTTGTGTTGTTGTTGTTGTCGTGTTGTCCTCTAGTGGGACGCTAAAGAAGAACTGGACATCTGAAACTGATGTGAAGCTAAAGAAAGAGTAAACTGATCCATGAACTGGAACCAGAGAGAATCTGCTATAACTCACTTTGTTCACTTTGACTTGTTTGTATCAGGAAGCAGCGGAAGAAGAAGAGACCTAAACCTAAACCTAAACCTGGACCTGAAGATGGACCTGGACCTGGACCTGAAGATGGACCTGGACCTGGACCTGGACCTGAAGATGGACCTGAAGATGGACCTGAAGATGGACCTGCAGATGGACCTGGATCCAGCTGTGTGTCCATGAAGAGTGACGGGTCTATGGATCACCCTCTTATCTTTAAATCTGGACGTCCTGCAGAGGGAAGGTGAGAATGTAAAAGTGTGTCACGTGATCAGCTTCTTTCTGAGGAGTTCAGAGTTTCTTCTCCCGGACGCTGGGACATTGTTCTGTTTGCTCTTTGGTTCTTCTAACTTACTCCATCTTTTCAGAGATGTTTCTTCGATTCTTGTGTTGTTGTTGTTGTGTTGTTGTTTTATCTCTGCTAGAAGTCAGATGTCCTCTAGTGGGACGCTAAAGAAGAACTGGACATCTGAAACTGATGTGAAGCTAAAGAAAGAGCAAACTGATCCATGAACTGGAACCAGAGAGAATCTGCTATAACTCACTTTGTTTATTTTGACTTGTTTGTATCAGGAAGCAGCAGAAGAAGAAGAGACATAAACCTAAACCTAAACCTGGACCTGAAGATGGACCTGGACCTGGACCTGCAGATGGACCTGAAGGTGGACCTGAAGATGGACTTGGAGATGGACCTGGACCCAGCTGTGTGTCCATGAAGAGTGGCTGGTCTATGGATCACCCTATTGTCTTTAAATCTGGACTTCCTGCAGAGGGAAGGTATGAAATTGAAAACTGGACTATCTTCTGACTCTCAGACTCAGAAAGTGGTCCCACTGCGGGAAGTTTGCAGCGTTAGCCTGTTGAAAATGTGAGCTTGATCATAAATCCAATAAAACGAAGAGCACAAAGATGAATTCTTCTTTATTCGTATCAGGATCCAGAGACCTGGACCTGGACCTGGATCCAGCTGTGAGTCCATGAAGAGTGACTTTTCTATGGAGTCTCCTCCTTACTTTAAAGCTGGACAAAGTGCTGATGAAAGGTAAGCATTTCAAACTGGACTCTGTTACTATCTGACTCTCTTTGGAGAAGAGTAAATCCTGCTCCAGCCTCCAACGTACCTCTCTTGAGTTGGTTTCTAATGACTTATATTTGTATTATGAATCATATAATGAGCAAAGACAGATGACTCTACCAAATTAAGACATTAATCATGGATTGTTTTAGACAACCCCCCCCCTCTTCTGTTTGACGGCAGGTAGCGAGCTGTTAATGGCATGAAGGGTCGGCGTGAGGTGTCTGGTGGTTTTATTCAGGGTTCCCGCGGGGTCTTAAAAAGTCTTAAAAAGTCTTACATTTGATAATCTGAATTTAAGGCCTTAAAAAGGTCTTAAATATGACCAAAAAAATAAGAAAGGTCTTAAATATGATTTAGAAGGTCTTAAAAATGATGGGATTTGAAAGGTACTTCTGTGTTGCGATCGCGTCTAAATGTCTTTTGGGGGAAATGTCCGGGCTGCAAAGTAACCAGTACGGTAAGAGCCTTTCAGTTCCCCCCAACAATCGGTATTGAATTAAATCAACATGGAACCAGTAATCACTAACTTTGTTTCCCCCGGCCCCTTATCGGAGAACACCCAGCTAGTAACCTAGCAACCAAGCTTCAGCTAGCGGCAGTCAGAAACTCATTTATCTTCAAATCTACTTACAAATAAATATGGGGAAGTGTAAGTTCAACCGTATTTGGTTGGAAAACATTGAATTTAGTGTTTGGTTGAAACCAGTGGAGGGAACGTGTTTGAAGCCCGCTGCACCTTTTGCAAAAGAAATTAGCGTTTGGGTCTACGTTTGGGTCTACGTCAACCCTAAAAGCGGAGGTGCTGTAGACGCTAAATACCGTAGTTAAACACCAATCATACAACAGCAACGATGAAAGATTGTAGCCAAGGCAGCAGAGCTCTGAATATAGCTCTTGTCACTCTCTCACACACACACACACACACGCACGCACGCACGCACACACACACACACACTAGGGCTGCTCGATTATGGCAAAAATCATAATCACGATTATTTTGGTCAATAATTGATATCAAGATTATTAAATACGATTATTCATTGACTTTGAAAACATCCATTTATTGAACTTTAAAACAAATAATAATTTGAACAGTATCAAAAAGATACTGTTCAAATTATTATTTGTTTTAAAGTTCAATAAATGGATTGAACTGTTGATTACCCTGAACGTGTAATTCAACTGAGAAACCACTACAAAAATCCAACCTGGTCTCACCAGAATGCGTGACTCCACCACGACTCCTTAACACCGCAGTGCGTTGTGGAGTCACGAACTCTGCTACATTTACGTATCGGCACAACGCAAACAACCCCAATAGCCGCGTTCACACCGGAGTACTTTTCCCCGTACTTTTCGCGTTTAGTTCCGTTAGTACCCCTTATGTCGCGTTCACACCAAAAATCGTACTTAATCTCGGGAACTTTTACCCCCATTTTTAGTGCCCGCTGAGAGATCGTACTTTCCTGTGGGTAAAAAGTGCCCCAGTGCTGATTGGCTGGGCGAATTGCAAACCACGCCCCGTACAACTGTGAAAATGTTGTGTAGAGCCGCCATTGTTTTTCCTCGCTACAAAAACCCAGCGCACAGACGGAGAGTAGTTTGTTTTTTAAAGCAGTTATGGCAAGCATCAAGAAATCATCGGAGTGATGAGGAGGTGTCGGCGCTTCTGGAGATCTACGCCGAGGACGCGACCCAGGGAATGCTACTGAAGCCAGTTCAGTAGCTTTCACTCGACCTGGGAATCGTGCACAGCCCCACGGCATACCGGCTAAAAATAAATAAACTCAGGCAGGACTACAAACGGCGGATTCAGTGGCCAACGATGACGACCACGACGAAGGTAAAATCAACTACATGCACTGGGGTTTTAATCTGCACAATAATGGTCTCATATGTACTTTTATTTGCTCAGTAGATCAAGCTAGCCATGCTAGGCTGAATAGGCTAACACCGGCCCCGAGCTAGCTACATCTAGCTAGCTAGATATTCTCGGCCGCTATGAAAACGTTTTGACTTGTGAATAACTGTGCAGTGTTTCTGTAATTTGCTTCACTAACTCATGGCACTAATCGTCTGTTTCAGGCGAGGATGGACAACTCTCGGGATTGGAAACAAGCGAGCTTGCATTCTAGATCACAGCGCTTGGTCGTCCCCCTTACCAGCAACCAAACGCAAAGGTACACACACTGTAACTTTGTCTTGAAAGAACGTTACGCATCGAACTGATGTTCACAATCATGTTTATTTCCTTCTTGGTACAATTATGAAACAGCGTGAAAACGTATTCGCCTAGACCGGCATTTACAAATGTTCGCGCCTTTTTACTCTCTCACAAACATTGTAAACATCCGGGCTAGAGGTCACCTGACTTCCGGTAAGAAAACTTGCCTCAACAACATTAAACAAAGTTCAAGCATACATGAAGCACTCTTCAAAAAGGAACAATCCTCCGTGTTTGAACCTCTTAAATCGCTGCATAGCCGATTTATTTGGACTGGATTATCCCAGAGAGGCTAAACATTCTTTATAACACAGTTTGAGATTTGTGTAACCTTAATTCTATTTGTGAAAATACAAAAAAGAGAGATTTCAGTGCTTTTTCGCATCCTGGCCACATTAGACCAGGTCCTGATCTAAAACCACTATTCCTAGACTCATCAAATCTGGACTGGATTATCCCAGAGAGTCAAAAGATTCTTTATAACACAGTTTCAGATTTGTGAAACCTTAATTCTATTTGTGAAAATACAAAAAACACATTCCTAGTATGTTGTAAAACTACATGGCGACTAAACAGATCTTGTATCTTGCTTATTTTCCCTCTTAGGAAAGCGGACACGGGATGCGAATTTCTTTGACACCGTCCAGGCGTTGGAGGACCAGCGTGCCGTGGTGAAAGAGTCGATGCACGGGGATCAGATGGTGCTGTTCACCAAGGCCCAGGAAACGGAGGACAAGATGCTCACCAGTTCATTTTATATTATTGTTATTACTGTTATTATATAGTCTTGATACAACTGACACTTTATTTTATATTGATAATGTTAATTTACATGTACAACTTCTATTTTATTTACATTAAAAATGTGAACTTCTATTTACTGTTAAACAGATCCTGTAGCTTGCTTATTTCTCCTGACACTTTATCTTTAGTGACCTGTGTAGCATCCTATACATCACATGAAAGTGATTATTCTGATACCATCATGTTTCATCGGTTATAAACTGGCAAAGCTTTATTTGTCATTTATTTATCATCAATGTTGCAACCTTGTGGAGGAATGGCAGGGGCACATACACAAATATGATAATTTATATCATTTTAAATATTATTTGACCTAAAACTAAATGTTTTTATGATTGTCCTCTGAGGAGGACATGGGGATTTGCAAACTTTTAATTCCCCCCCCATTTTACACAACACAAAATGGAGTCCACTATGCGCCGAAACTAACATGTATGTTTCCATAGTGTTTATGGCAGACGGATGCAGTGGGTCTCAGGAAGATATATATATAATAAAGGTGGGTTTGCTGCTGAGCCTATTTACTGTGCATACAACACACCTGGCACAGTTTATTGTTATTATATTGCCACACTGTACACTATTGTAATGTTGCCTGTCTTGACTGGAAAATAAAAGAGAGAAACAAAAGCACTGTACAAAAGATCAGCTTTATTGTCAAAATGTTTACAATGTACAATTTACACGCTGTTCAGATGCCTCATAAAGCTGGGTCGCCGGTAAGGCAGTCCATTCGTCCCTGTACTCATCATTACTTTCACAAAGGTTATGTAATATGCAACATGCTGCCACCTGGATTTTGATCTTGTCCATCTTGCAGTCGTTTCTTTTCATCAAGCACCGCCACCTGCCCTTCAGTCTGCCAAAAGCGTTCTCCACCACCACTCGTGCTCGGCTTGTTTTGTTATTGTACGCAAGTTGCTCAGGCTGCATTAACTCAGTTACAAAGCTGTATAACATGAGCACAAACAGCACAACTTCAGTCGACTCATCTCCATCATGTCTGAGGTCGGAAGGTAAACAACAGACGCCTAATGTACAGCGAGTGGGTGGGCGTCGCAGTATACGCGGGAAGTTTTTCTTCTTCTTCTCTTGTTTTGCAGCGGATTGCAAACAACTTTAAGGTGCATACCGCCACCTACTGTACTCGCCGTGAAGTGGTTTGTGGCCTGCCAGTAAAGCCAAAGCAGAAGAAGAAGAAGTGACGTCAGCGGCTCATTTGCGTAATCTTCCCTCAGGGAAAAGTACTCCGGTGTGAACGCGATCTGTACTAAGTGCCCTGGGGTAAAAAGCGCCGGGGCTCTGAGTGCCGGAACTAAGTACTGCAAAGTACTTGGTGTGAACGCGGCTAATGTAAAGTGAATGAGGCTCCTTTGTCGTGGTGCACACACGCATTTCTACAACGTCCCGCGGTGAGCTTTTATTCTATAAAACGTTTTTAAAATCTACTTTATAGCTTGTAGTAACTCACGGGAGGCTTCTTTTATTTTATTTGTATTCATAATAATTTTTATTTTTCGTCAGAATGTATTATGGTGCATTATTCACCAATGTTTGTTCTCAAAAAACAATGCATTGTGTGTAATACAACTGTGATTTTTATTAAATGAGTTAGTTTTTAAGGAAGGCCAGAGCTTCAGCTGTGTCAAATAGATTGTTCCCTTTAGTTAACGTTATTTAAAAGATAATTATATTCCTATTTGATCATGTCCCCTTTATTGTATTACGGACACAAAGAGCTGAGCGTCCATTCCCATTGGATAACGGAGGATTTTACACCCAGAAGTAAGTATTCTCCTTACTGTCGATTGATTTGACAGTGATATCTGCACTACTCATCAACTCAAAAACACCAGATTATCCTTGTTAATTACACAACATTGATTGGTTTAAATTGTGTACAATGCTTTTGTATTTTCCCCTTTCGATTCGGAGA